GTACTGCAGGGGCCGGTGGTTGTCGTCACGTCGATAGCCAGGAAACGACCGAGGTGGATACGTGCGGAAACGACAGTAGCGGGAGATGTGTCCTACACCATGACAATGAAAACATATAGGCTTGTCGTCCTGTGTCCTCCACTGAGCAGGATCACGATAGCGGCGGAATCTTTCTGGTGCAGGAGAAGGCGCTATGGTACTGACCCGAGGTTCCGTCAACGAACACACAGGCTGCAGCCCAACGTTTGCCAGCTCCTCTCTCACGACCTGTTGGATCAACGAGATCGTTGGTCGATCATCAGATGGGCGGGTCAGAAAAGACGGAGACGCGGCCTCGATTTCTCTACGAACGATGCGAACCACACTTTCGTTGTTATGTGGTTGACTGCATGGCGGCTGAAGGTCCTCGCAAGATGACGTAGCGGCCGTGTTCGGAAGTCGCAAGAAATTCTTGGCGACCCGGCGACTCTTCAGCTCTTCGAATCGGCGGCACTCTTTGATGATGTCATCAATGGTGGAACAGTCTTTGGAAACCAGTATGTTAAAAGCATCATCTGCAATGCCTTTAAGTAAATGGCTTACTTTGTCTTCCTCGGACATGTTGGGGTCGGCACGATGGCAAAGGGCGAGAACGTCAAGGATGTAGGTGACATATGATTCGGTCGTAGTTTGTGCCCGACCAGAGAGTTCTTTAGAAGCGGCCCGCTGGCGTCCGACGGCCTTACCAAACAGGTCACGAAGCTTCTGTTTGCAAGTATCCCAGCTGGTTATGTCCGCTTCATGAGCCTCGAACCACGCGCCAGCTGTTCCGCAGAGATAGAAGCCAACGTTGGCGAGCATCATCGTAGGGTCCCACCGGTACACTGCTGCAAACCGCTCGAACTTCGGAATCCAGTCGTCAACGTCAACATGGTCGGTGCCGCAGAAGTTGCCAGGGTCGCGCGGTTGCGTCAATACGACCGGCTGTACAGGCTGCGCCGGAGTCGCGGCTGAAACAGGAGCGGCAGAATTGGTTTCTGTTGCCATGGTCGGGCAGTCGAGAACACGTCCGCTTCGAAGTTCCGTCTTGCGTCGTACCCAGCGCCACCACCAAAATGTTGCGAATGTATTTACTACTTTAGAGTAGAAAAGTACTCCAGCAGTCAAGATGGCAGCCGTTGTGTATTTCGAACAGCCCAAAAACGTCGTCGTCTTCTTCTTCGCACCGCCCGCATAGCTGCATAGCCGCGAACCCGCAACAATATATGCGGGGTATCAGTTTTCGATTGTTTCCAACTGTGTTTTGCCATGCACTCGCGCGCTCTTTCTGCGTTGTCTCGCATAAATGTCGTGTACGATCAAATGATTTCATTTTGTTTTGCGCGTTTTTGACTGCGCAAGCGAAGATACTAGCGTGTAGCCGAAAAGCTCAAAGTTTGTATTGGCTCAGCGCTTTGTTCTGACATTCCCCATGTACTTATTGAAGAAACAAGATGCGAGGAGGAGATAGCTCTAGTAGGGAACGTAGCGAAAGCGAGAAAAAACCACTCCCTTGTCGTTGAATGTGGGGGGCGGGGGGTTAGGGGTCCTTTAAGAACGTTTAGTGATATTTTACGGTGCCTTGAGCTGAGCAATTGGTTGGTTGGTAACAACTTTATAGATCTTCTGAATATTATTTGTGGTACATTTTAGGAAGTTCATGCTAATGAGCTTTCAGTCTTATCACCTGAGCAGGCTCTCTTTTTTTAAAGCAGTGTTTTCTGGGTGCAGCTTATAGCTATGAACCTTGGCACTCTCGTTTACCGTAATTGCGTATAGTTGGCAAGGAATGCAGACCGATATAATTTCTAAAAAGCGAAAGAGGGTAAGCAGCTCGGGAACATTTATTCGTAGCCTGGCCGACAGCGAGTCACTGTTTGTTTTCCTATTTCGACTACAGCACCTGTCTACAACACCTTCACACATGCATCACTCCAATTGCGCGTGGGGTTGTCGCTACAATTAAACTTTTACAGGGACCATGCAAAGGTCCACGTGACCCCTGGCAGTTTTACACGTCCGGAAGCGAATCCCAAGCACCGCGAAGTTACTGACACCACAGAGAACGCTGTAGTTTCCCTTATCTCTATAACGGTCGCGCGCGGTTGCTCCACTCTTATCGCGTGGCGCATGCTCAAATACTATGCGTACAAGCCTCTCGCAAGCCGCGTCGTTGCCACGCCCTCGGAGGACGCAATCGGCCCTGAAACTGGTCGGACCGGAGCAACGGTGGCAACTTCTGCCGCGGCATGTTTTTGTTGACCTCTCTCTCTCTCCACAGGGACGTTGTCCCTGTTTCATCCGGAAGAGCGGTTTGGCGCATACAATAGGAATGAACGTGACTGCGTCCCCGCGATCTGATCAAGGGTGGAGAAAGTGATGTATAACGCACAACCAAATGGGCCCCCGGTCAAGGGCCACCGCGCCCAGCGGCTTCCCGCTGTCACTTTGGACGTCAGCCGGGCCACGCATCGTGCCCTTTGCACCATGCTTTTGTCCGAATTCTGGCTAACAGCATGAGCTTTCTCTCTGGGTTCAATGAGATCAATTTTGTGCAAACGAAGGTTTTTTTTTTTACTTTTGATGTACGCAAGCAATAGAGCATTCGTGGTGATTATATTGACTCTAGCCAAATCTGAAAGATCTACGTGAAATTATACGCGACTGAAAAGGGCGCTGCGCTCGAAGAATGCACCTGCTGGCATTGGAGGTGTGAGGACAGAAAACACTGAATAAACAAAACAGACGAACAGAACCTTAAGATTGCCTTGATGAATCGTATCTCAGCACAAATTTGTAACTTCTACTGAAATTTGAAATGAGGAGAGCGAGAAATGCGATTTCCAAAAAAAAAAGGCGAGAAAGAATATATTTCTCAAGTTTGACGTTTTTTTTTTAAGGGACCGTTTCTTATCGCCATGTTAACAATGAACATAAATAGACCTCACAACACCAAACTGTCGCAGTCAAGGCAACGAAACTGACTTAATGCGAAGGACGACACGCCAAATCATCGCGGCGCTGATGCGATTAACTATTCTAACTATTTTAAAAATATTAAGAAATAAAACGCACAAAGAAGCGTAAACAAACCTTCAGTCATCATCGTTTCACCTCACGAAGCCGGACGTACTCATTCCGCCTTTTCCAACCCTAAGGTAATATGATCTTGATGGTTCGCAGTCCGCACATATCTTAAGTAAAACACCTTTTTTTTTGTAAAGTCACTCTAATGGCTTTGCCACTTTCATGCACTGAGATAATAGAGAAGAGGCGGCGTAGACACGCTTCTGTTTGTATACTTAGGACTGAGAAAAGATATTGAATGAATCCAATGAGTGAGACTTTCAGGCTGAATTTACTGCCTCTACGCAACGCATTTATGTTGTTGCAAAGTATTGTTATTGCATTTCTATTCTATTTTATTTAGTAACTGTGCTTCCCACTAAACTCGCAACAAAGCAGAAAGCTGGACGAGTTAATGCGTATTCATCGTTATGGAAAGGCGCGAACTGACGACTGAAACAAAGAGAGAAGTACATGACGCAAACGCTTGCCTTGAACTAAAGTTTAGTGAACGAACACAGAAGAAAATAACCTACTGGGTACCACGCATGCTTAAAGTGAGCGCTTTTGCCGTGTCCCTCTTGATTCCCGTCGTCGGTGTGCGCCCTCCGGAAACAATGACCAAGCTCGCACAAAACACCGACCAATGTAGGCAGAAGAAATTTTTTCTGGGTGATGCACGCCGTGTTGAAGAAGCCGGCTGATAGAACAGGACGCCTCTATCACGTACCCGAAGTAACCGGGCAGCAACCGGGCTGCAGGCGAAAAAAATTCCGCCATATCCACGAAGTGAATGATGATGAGTGGGCGAAGCTCCGGAGGTAAACCTGGTAAACCATGAATCCACTGTACATTTTGCCCACTCGATTTTATTACATCGCTCCCCCTAGCGTACGTCGCCGTACTAAATCGAACGATTGCCTTCAACCAATGACACGCGCCATATGTGACATCATTCCTATTTTATAAGATCTCGCGTCTTTCATCAACTACGAGTACCGCTTTCTAGTTTATAACATCTTGCATCTTTTCATCATCAGCTACAAGTACCACCATCTAGTAAACACTGCAAGAACTAAACTAGAGGTGGCTACATACAGGGGACGGTACCGCCATCTAGTGAACACTGCAAGAACTAAACTAGAGGTGGCTACATACAGGCTACAGGGGACGCAAAGCCCACGCCCTAAGGAGCTTCGCCCCTAAAACTAAAGATCATATTACAATATCTCGCATCTAGGTCGTAGCAGAGAAGTGCTTATGAACGTTTCGGAGGGGTGAGGGAGGTAACTGATAAGCACAGCGCCCGGCTTATTGTGGTGTTATAACACTTCGTCGCTGGTATGCCACAAAGTTCGGGAATGTCGTCCTGGGAGGTCATGGCAGGTGAACGCGATGAAGGTCACGTTCACCCACGACTAAGGTACAGGCCTCATGTCTTCAAATTTTTGAAGACGTGAGACCTGGACCGGCGGTTCCAGACTAATGGTGATATCCTGACTGTGAGGCATATAACTTGGTGTGTGAGTGCTCTCTTCTTTCTGTTTCTCCCTCTTTCTTTATCTTTAAAACTCCCCCACCCCTTTTTCCAGTGTAAGGTAGCATGCCCAGTCCTTTCAGACTGGTTGAAATCCCTGCCTTTTCTTTTTTCCCGGTTCTCGCCTTCCTGTGGAGGCTCTGTTAATGATGTGCAGTGTCGTATTCTTACCTTCAAAGAATAAACTGTTATTGAATGAGGTCTTTCTTCCGTTCAATCAAGATAATGTGCAAAAAAACTGTATGCGGGCGTGTGGAAAGCCTCGTTAATACCAGTGGCCACTGGTAAATTACACTGTCCACAGGGTGTCCTATTTGGGTCTTCGTAGTAGTGACAGAGTGTATAAAATTGCCTACTTATACGGTTTTCGCATTCGCAGGAGTGCGTCCCCTCGCTGCACGTGGAGGACACGGCAGACTGGCTGGAGCAGGATGTCATCGCCGGCTTCCGAGTATGGCAGCTCATGTTCCTCTCTCTCGGAGGCCTCATCGTCGTCGGTAAGACTCATATCTCGACGTTGTGTCTTTTGACCGGTGTGACCGTGTTACACGTTGTGCTCGTTCTGCCAGGTACTGCCAACATGCTCAAACCTCTGCACCTGTGAATACCCGTGTCCCCGTTTCTCGCTCTTCGCTCGTCCTGTCACCCATTACTAACTCGTCGGAAGCCACAATAAATGATAAATAATGCTTACTTTGCAATATAAATTGATGCTAATTGGTGCTGAGTGAGATTAACACGCTCACGTTGTTGACGTCTCATAGTCACTCTGGTTTCAATTTTTTTGGCACGTGCGTATGACGATTTGCCAACTCACCCCGCAAGCTACCCTTAGCTACATGCTCTGTGTTGTTCTAGAGACACCTTGTTGTACTTAAGCCATTTTGTGAGATTAAGTTAGTACATTTTTTTTCAACTGTACTGCACCGCTTTCCCTGAAAGTCGCACCGGCATACCCTTCAAGAACTCTAAAGTTGCTGACGGGGTTTAAAATACCCAGTGGCGATTTTTAACACAGGATCACTTATTCAAGGGTATCATAAAGTGTGTATACGGGATCGGACCATTTATTTCGAATCACCGATGGTTCAGAGTATAAGTAGGTTTTTTATCTGGCGTGAAAAAAAAATGTTAGCACAATATATCGCTTTGTTTTTCTCTGAAGAAATAATTTGGTCAGTATTATCAAGCAGTGTAAATTCACACTTTGTGTAATGAGCTATGAAATGTCACGTAGTGATAGGTTTATTTGTATTGAACCGTATAGTATAGCCATTATAGTATCGCGCCATCATTTTCCCACAACAACCCCTTTTCACCCTACAAGATGTTGTTTTGCTTCACCTTTGATGTAGTGCGTACGCAGTGAAGCACCTTTGCCAGTTACAACTTGGTTTGATTTTTGCGACGGGAAACCAATCTAAATAACAAGAATGCCGTAATAAAACAGGAAATACATTATTTACGCCTCGCAAAAAAACTTTCATGAGTTATAAGTGACGCTGCATTACGAGCATGGAGGGCAGCTGTCTCAGTTTGTTTCTTCAATTGTTACATCAATCACCTTTTTTTTTTGTCTCCAACACAGACAATTGTTCAAGACTTATGAAATTACAACCGATTTTGTGTGATGCGGCACTCGTTCAAAAAAATGGCTTACAGCGTAGCTATCTTTATGAGGCAGAAGTTAAGAAAAAAAGATTGAAGCTTGAAGAGATGACAGGCTTTAACAGAGGAATGTCATTGGTGCAAACGTTTTAACGAGCATACCTGTCTTCATTAAGTCAGTGTTCATCATTTCAGCGTATCAGCCTCGCCCAACGCATTTTTCGGGAACAAATATTGAACGTTTTAGATTGTTACTCAGCAAAGTGCCATCACCATATTCTCGATACCAAAGGTTGGTGATCTCACCTACGAGTCGACTCACTCTAACTCACTGAGACCCAGATCGAGCCGTGAGTATGAGTAAGTCGGTGTGGGTATATTCTGGTGATGTTAGTCCGAGTGAATCCAGGTGAATAAGGAACCCCACGCCGAGTTCCCTTCTGCTAGCCAATTTATGATAGCAAAAGACATTCCCATTCTATAGCACTGTAAAGGCCTCATATGTCCTCCTAACATCACTGAGTCCTACTACATCCCATTTAACACCCTCTATCTCCTCGAATAGTACAGCTAGACTTGCCTCACTGGCTAAGGTTCTAGCGTTAAACATTCCCAAGTTCACGTTCCAATGGCGGTCTGTCTGTACCCAGAGATTCTTAGCACCCTCTGCTGCGTTGCAGTTCTGACCGTCACCATGGTCAGCTGCTTCGCAGCCACTGGGGACTGAGGGCCGTGTGTCAGTTGACGTATGCATGTGGGAGGAGTCCTGTTGAAGAAAATTTTAGTCCTTGTGAGTCCGAGTGAGTCCGGTTCAAAAAAACTTTGGTGAGTGGAGTCTGAGGGAGTCTAAAGCTCAGGACACATTTCTCGGATGTGTTCAAGTGAGCTACACTTTTTTTGGCAACCTATGCACGGCATTGACGTTATTTAATACAGGAGGAAGAAAGCGAAAAATGTCATCTATTCTTGATCATCATGCGGTTTACGTATCTTTATCACTGACAGAGTGAACGATGAAATCAAGAAGGTTAGTCATGAAGTTGGCTATCCTGCATTGGACGATTGAGTAATCGCACAGAGTGGGTGACACAGGTATACTTGTATACCCTGAATCACTGTGCCCTAATGCATCAGCCAATAGTCGATGCATGCGGCGAATACCAACCAGTTTAGTTCGGAGGACAATGTGAAGCCGAGTTACTCCGAATATTGGAAAGGTTGCCTCCTCTTTCTTAAGGACTCCTTGAACAACGTAACTGATATTTAGTTTGTGCAAATAAAACATCTGAAGAGATTGTTTAAAAAGGAACTACATGAACTTCGTTTTCGTTTCGTTTTTTCAGTGGTGGTGATGTGCTGCTTTATGAAATGCCGCATTCCGAGAACGAAGCAAGAGATCGAGGCAGACTTCCATCGAAAGAAGCTCACCCAAGTTTTTAGAAAGCATCTGAACAAAGTGCCCGTCGAAGAAGTCGAATTTAAATTAGGTAGGTACCGGCCTCCTTTAGTAAGGTTGACCAACCTAAATATTACATGTATCTGCCTAATACACGCATCATTATCGCTGTTAGTTTACAACGCTGAGACTCGACTATCGTCAACATTTCTCTGGGCTCATACATACATGCATATATATATTGTAGTGGGGAATTCGCAAGGCAATGATAGTGGGACCATCGCTGAGTGCGAAGCGCGAGCACGAGCTGTAGACACTGGACTGCCCGAGCATTTGTTTCTGTACCAGCTGTCTGCCTATTACCTGGCGTCGCTAATAAACCCCCTTGCAATATATATATATATATATATATATATATATATATATATATATATATATATATATATATATATATATATATATATATATATATATATATATATATATATATATATATATATATATATATATATATATATATGCATACATACATACAAAATGAAGAACAGAACTGAGCGTGAACAACTCCAGTTACCATCAACAGTAATGTCAAGCATGTTGAGAGCGAAAGTGCTTTGCAATTAGTGTGAGATAATTATAATCAGGAAATGCATTTTCAACCTTGAACTCACTGCAGAATTCCAACCGTTTCCCGGTATTCTGTGAAATCTTAGTTTATAAACGCCCTTCTAATTTTTTTTCTTCTTTCAGTACCTCTATCTTTGCGTCCTCTTCCCAACGCCGATATATCCCTATCCCAGAACAAGCAAACTCTGATGTGGCAGACCTCTCAGACTTTACGATTGTTTTGTTTTATTGACTGCGTTTATGATGAAACAAAATTGAAGGACATCCTTGCTATTATATCAAGAAAGAGAGAAGGAGAAATTCAATGAAACACACGGTAAAATGTAGGCGCAGTGCATCGGGTGATCAAGTTAATGCTGTGAAACCGTGTCGCTTCACCTCAATGCCTCTCACAGCCCAGCATCCATACCTTGGTTTGCTTACAGGCTCACAGCACACCAGCCTGAGTGACTGACAGCAACTCTGCTGTGCGTGCTTTTGTGTGCGAGCAATGTTAACTCACTTTATGTGTGCTCCTTGAGGTTGCATTTGTTTTATGTCAGACTGAATTCTCAGTTGGTTTACCGTACTGCTCTTGCACCTATGTTTTTCTCTCTCTTATTGGTTTGTAAGAAAGGAAGGAAGGAAAAACTTTATTTGCAAGGGTTTGGGACAGGGGTCATGAGCTTGATGGGTGGGGCCCCAAGTCCAGGGCTCCACTGGCTGCCGCCGTCTGTCTGACGTGCCGCAGAAGTACAAGCTGCACCTCTGGGTCAGAGCTGGCGAGCTGTGCCTCCCATTGCTCGAAAGTATTACAAAGCTTGTACTGACCTAAAAAGGTATATCAATTTGGTGGTCGTTTTAGGCATCCCCACGAAATGTGGTAGAGCGATGGCGAGCCGCCACACCACGGACAAGCACGCCCATACAGCGTTGGAAAAATTTTGTGTAACCTTTGAAGATTAGGAAAGACCCCCGTTTGAATTCGGCGGAGGTCAATTGCGTCCTCCCCTTCTAATGATTTGTGGGGGGCGCTGTATTTTTGTCGCATGCCTCGCTGGTTAGCAAGAATTTCGCGAGGGGCCATTCTGGATGTGTCATTATCCTCCTCGATAGCATCCTCCTGGAGTGTTTCAAAGGATTGAATGTGCTGTCGAAGCTCTGCTCGGTTCGTGAGCCCTCGAGCACAAGCGTCAGCACTTTCGTTTCCCTCCAGGCCTGCGTGTCCTGGACACCAGATCAGTCTGTATTTGTTCGTCAAGCTCCCGCCTAAGAACTTGCTTATTTTTAACGGAAGGCGGCCTCTTAAAAAGAAACGGCACGCTTCCTGCGAGTCGGAAATGATAGTTGTCTGCGGTTCATCTCTTTGTTCCTGCGCTTTGATTGCAAGGGCAATGGCAAAGCATTCCGCCTTGGCGATCGAGGACGTGTACAGTGATGCACATGTCACCATGCAGTTGCCGTTGCTAAGTACCGATGCAACTGACCGTTTAAAATTGTACCTTGAAGCGTCCACATACAAAACATTTGATTTGTTTTTTAATGTTTTTCGGAGCCATCGCACTCTCTCCTCTCTACGCTTTCTGTTTGTTTTTACGTCGATGTTCTTGGGCAGCGGTGAGATTGAGATCTTGCTGCGGACGGGATCCGGGATTTCTACAAGAACCTCGTCCATTTTCTGGGGGTATGGCGGAAAGCCCACCCTAGAAAGTATCTCTCTCCCCGCTTTCGTTTGACTTAGGCGATTTCTCTGCGCAGTCAGTACCGCTGTCTTTAGCTCAGGGTATGTATTATATATACCGAGGTCCAAAAGCTTTTGGGTTGGTGTGCTTACCGGTAGCCCTATGGCCACTTTGTAGGCGCCCCTAATTATGGACTCGATGGTTTCTTCTTCTGATTTCTTTAACACGGGGAAAGGTAGACTATACGTAACCTTACACAGTACAAGTGCCAGTACTAATCTAATTGTGTCTCCTTCCTTCATGCCCTGTTTGTGGCATGTTATTCTATGGATCATTCGTGCAACTTGTTTCGTGACTGATTTTAATATGGTTATTGTATGATTCTCTCGTCCATTACTTTGAACCCAGTAACCCAGAATACGTGCGACGGTCACCTCACGTACTTTGACACCTTCAATGTTTATGTATGCCGTTACTTTTGTATCTTTTTCCATGTACCCTGATAATTTCAGATTTTTCTGGGGCACAGCTGAGCCCGCTTGCCTTCGCGAAGTTTTCAACTGCTGCTGCAGCCTCTTGAAGTGTCTGCTCTTTGTTAGCTAGAGATCCACGCATTGACCATAGGGTGATATCATCCGCATAGAGAGTGTATCCTAACTGCGGAACTCCATCCAGAGCTCGCGTGAGTCCTAACATGGCGATATTAAAGAGCAGGGGAGAGAGGATGGCTCCTTGAGGGGTACCTTTGTTTGGCATCTCAAAAGCGTCTGACGTGCCTTGTGCTACGCTTATCGAAGCCCGCCTTTCTGTGAGGAATGCCTTGATGTAATTGTAGGTGTTTGTCCCACATCCCATGTTGTTTAATTCTGTTAGGATGGCCTTATGCGAGATATTGTCGAATGCTCCTTTTAAATCAAGGGCTAGTATTAGATGTTCTCCTCCTGTTGGTATATAGCTCAATACTTCCTCTTGTAATAGGAGAAATGCGTCTTGGGTGGAGAGGCCATTGCGGAAACCCAGCATAGTGGCTGGAAAAAGGCCGTTGTCCTCTATAAAGTTTTGGAGCCGATTATGAATAACCCTTTCGAAAAGCTTTCCCATGCATGACGACAAAGATATGGGCCTGAGTGCCTGCAGAGAGGGCTTCTTCCCGGGTTTCGGTATCGTAATAATTTTGGCTACTTTCCATTCCTCGGGTATCTTCCATTTGAGCCAATACTTGTCATTAAAATGGTTTGTCAGTGCCTCTATAACCTTATCGCTGAGGTTCCTTATCATTGCATTTGTGATTTGATCTGAGCCAGGGGCAGAATTTCTCTTGGCTGCTTGGGCAGCCGCAAGGACATCTCCCGTGGTGATTGGGGCGTCGAGTCTCTCGTTTTTCGCACCAGTGTACTGCATTTCAATACTGCAACTATCGGTATTCTCTCCTATGTATCTGTCCTTAAGTGCTTGTATTAACTCCTCCTCTGTGCCCGGAAAATCATGCATTATTCGTTGTAGTGTTCTGTTCGAGGCCGATTTTGATTTTTCTGGGTCAAGCATGTTCCTTAGGATGGCCCAAGTTTTCGCAGTGCTCAGAGTGTCCTGTAGTGAACTGCAGAACTGGATCCATCCCTCAGTTGCAATTTTGTTAGCGTATTGATTTGCCTCCTCTCCTAAAGCAGCGATTTTGCGGAGAAGGTTCCGGTTGAGTCGCTGGTTTTTCCACTTTTTCAGCATACGGCGTCTGCTCTCCCACAGGTGGAGCAGGTGCCTGTCGACTGCAGGAGTCTCTGCTGTTCTTGTGATACGTTTAGATGTTTGTTTGTGAACTGAGATTATGTACTCTGACCATTCCCCAATCGACTCCGGTACAGAGTCGGGTGAGGGATCACGTCGTCTGTATCTTTCCCAGTCAGTGATCACCACGTCTCCTATGACCCTGCGTAGTTTTGGAGTTGAGAGGGAAATACTGATTATGTAGTGATCGCTGCCGAGATTTTCTTCCAGGTTTGTCCAGTTAGCGTCGTTAACATTACGTGTGAATGTCAGATCTGGGAACGTGTCTCGACTTACGCTGTTACCCAGCCTCGTAGGTGTTGTGGGTAGAGTAATTAAGCTCAATCCTAGTTTCGATACGGCGTTTTCGAGACGTGTTCCTTTAGGGGAATCTCTCGAATAACCCCATGTGGTGCTGGGTGCGTTAAAGTCACCCAATACCACAAGTCGATCTTTCGCCCCTGCAATACCGACGACATTTTTAAGCAGTACACCAAAGTCCTCGTGTTTCTCTTTGGGAGGGCTGTATATATTTAATATTACGGTTTTCACTTTGCCTCTCTTCAGAGGAAGAAGGGTGATTATCTGATGATTTATCCGCAGACTTTCTATGTGCTCAACCTTTGCTGCAATACTTTTGCTAACCAGCGAGGCTACGCGGGGATAATTTGGATCTTGCAAACAATAATATCCCTGCAGTTTGACCATCTTGGGCCCAACCTCCTGCAAGAATATCAAGTCTGGCTGAATTGGTACCGAGTTCATGTAATTTTGGAGTGCTGCGGCGCGCTTGTGAAAAGTGCGACAGTTCCACTGCCAAATCTCTAAATGTTCTACACTTTTTATATTATTTTTGGCCATGCTGCATCGTCATATCCATGCTGTCGCGGCCCGCTTTGGATGGTTTGTCAATACCTGGAGCGGACATGGAGCGTTTGTTTAGTGCCCTCTGCAAGCCTCTCTTTTGTAATAAATGTTTTTCATCATCATCTGCAAGCCTCCCACAGCATCGTTAACATACTGCCTCTGAATTTTCAGTTCTTCTACGACAAACGTTTTCATTTCCGTCATGAAATCACTTAAAAGTTTATGTAAAGTAGCTATGCTTTCCCTGTTTGCTTGAACCTGTGTCTGCCCTCGCTTTACTAGTTCACTGCTTTCTGATTGATTAGCGAACGAGTCTTTGTCTATCGCTTCCGCGCTCGTTTCTGCACTATCCTTCATGTGGGCTAGACGTTCTCGCGCCTCTTTATTGCTCACGGTGGGGTTGCCTATCGACCCTGGGTTTTGTATTTTCTTAATTGCATTTTCTAATTTGATTTCCATTGACGAGATGGCCATATTATACTCTTTCCGCTCCGCAGTCATTTGATTTCTAAGCTGTTTCATTTCTTGTGTTAATCTTTTGTTCTCCTCTAGAATTTTGCTATACTGTGGGCTATCAGTTGCAGGAACATTGGGAGGCACTGGACTCGCCCAGCTCACCTTGTTTGGTTGGTTGTTTTGTACGTCCTGCGTACTAAGGCCAGTGGTTGCTGCTACTGCTTCTTCTTTCCTGGCATGGGCGGAGCTTGTTTCCAAGCTGCTGCTCGGTGTTTTCTTCAAGTTTGGCTTGCCAGGAGCCTCCGCAGGCTTGCTAATATTCCGCTGTTGCGGGGCCTTTGATGATGATCTCGATCTTGATCGTGATCTGGAGTTGGATCTAGATGCCTGCCGCGTCTGGAGCGTCACTTCCTCTCGGTCTGAGCTGAACCAACGAGGAGGTTTCTGCTGGTGTTGCTCAGATGGCGGGAAATCCTTCTCGGCATAGGTACACTCTGTTTGTCTTCGAGGCGTCTCCACTCGTGATTTTCGGGGGGCCACATTTTTCAGTTTCTTTTTGCATGATTTGTCTCCTGTAGCGTGCTCTTCACCGCATATGGCGCAGTTCAGGGCACATTCATGTTCTTTAGTAGGATCACACGTCCCACACTTGGAGCACACATTGGCGTTCGGAGTCGGGCACACGTCGGTTCGGTGTCCAGTTGATCGACAAATCTTACAAACCTGTACGGTAGGCTTGCATGGATAACAGATCGCCTCTGCACCCAAAAAATAGACACACCTGGGGAGCACGTCACCCGTAAAAGTTATTATTGCTGACTTCGAAGAGCCCAGCATTCTGGATCTCTCTATCTTCACCCCTTGTGTCCGTATTCGTAGGTTTGCCATCAGGTCGGCCTGAGTGGTTCCGGGCGGTAGTCCGTGAACGATGCCTCGCAGCACGTCTTCTGGGTCGGCCACGTACGCATTGAAGGGGTGAATCCGTCCTCTGATTTTCAATTGATTGATCTCTCTCAGCCTGCCCGCCACTTGTTCGAGTGGCGTGGACAATATTATGATGTTCGATCCGGGGTGGACCCGCAGCAAAAAACTTTCTCCTCCAAAGCTGTTCCGGCAGGCCTCTATCACTGCCATAGAGAGCTCGGATCCAAATAGATTTTTCACTGTGAGGCCCTTGTGCGGTCTCAGGATAATCTTATGTCTTCCTTTGGAAGGGGCGTCGGTCCTCGGCGTTTTCTGCGCTGGAAATCCCGCTTGACTTGGCTGTCCCGTGCTGCGTCGGCAAGCGGATGGCCTGCTGACTTTTCGTTTTTCTTCTCTAGTTCCTTCTCGGGTTCTTTCTGGATTTTTTAAGGTTCTTTTTTCTTCTGCGTGAAAGGACGGTGTGCCAGCCGTCCTCCGTCCAAGTAAGAGCCAGACCCGCGTCGTCATTGTTCTTGTTATCGAGAGACGCGGCGCTGGGCGCTCGCGCGTCGTTACTTGGTTCCTCATTTGACAAGACGCTGTTCGCGTCGCTCGGTTGATTCTCCGACACCAGAGATGCGCCGGGAGGGTTTTCGTCAACGTCCATGTAGACGAAGAATTTCTAGGCGTCCTTATGCATGCATGCTCCGTAGAAACAGGGGAATGGGCCGACCTCCGTTTTCTTCTGCGCAAGACGCATAGTCCGAAAAGGAGGTTAAATGGCACTCACCATTGACTTCCACCTTGGTCAGAAAATGTCGGAGAAAGTCGGTCGAATAGTGGTGAGCCAGTCGACGCACCCGTCGCCGCACCGCGCCCGGTTTAGCGTCCCGGCACCGCCGACCGAACCCGGTGATACGGTAAGCTGCGTTCGTGCACGTCGTATCTTCAAACGTTGATAATTTCTCGTGAAGCTGGTCCAGGTCCCAGATTTTGGCGTCCTTCAAATCCTCGCAACTTCACGGAAAAGATGACGCACTCTTCAAGTAGACTTGAATAAAATTTCCGCTTGGAAGCGTTTCATAAAGCGGAGAGCGATGTGAGCACGTCCTCACCGCCCTACGCCACCTCCGGTGTAACACTATTGGTTTGTAAAACTTCATACTTCATTAATTCAAGTCCGACTGTTCCACATAAAACAACAGTGAATATGATTACCGCACTTAGCCTCTGCTCTCATTCTTCATCATTGGAGCGAGCCAAGGGAACGAAGGACAGAGGAGAGCAGTAATATGCACAATGGTTGGACAAATAACTGCGGCTTACGGAAAGCATTTCTCATCTTCAAAAACCAGGCGAGCATGCACAGCTCAAAACATAACAAAGCATCGTACAACACTGGTAACAAGATAGGACAAGTCGCTAACGCCAGTGTGATAGGGAGTGTAACTTCTACGCCTTTCTTCTGTTTCTTTGTTTACATTTTTCGCGCGTCTACTTTTCTCTCCACTTTGGTTTTCATCTTTACCCTTTCCATCTCCCCTTAGTGCAGAGCTTTAAAGGGGATATAAATCTGGTTGGCCTCCTTACCTTTCTCTTGTTTTACCCCCTCTCTCTCTTCTCATCTGTACTTGTGATATAAGGTGCACCTATGCTATTATCCTTTCATATGATGATGTGACAGGCTTCCAGGATTTCACGCTTAATCTTTCCAATAGTTTTGTGTCCCACTTCTCGCTGTGTCCTTTGTTCTACTGACTCGTTCAAATTCCGAGGAATGTGCACCAACTCACCCAAATCATAACTCTGCTGTTCATCCCGCCCTCTATCGGTAAATATTGTTCTGTAAAAAACTCTCCATAATATCAGGTGGGGGTGGCCTAAGCACACCCCATTGCCATCCCTCCGTAAATGATTAAGCAGTGAGGAGCTGTGGGAAGCTGCCTTGCGCTGCTCCAAAACCATAGCCACCCTGGTTAGATCAGTGAAGGCTGTGGTGGCCTTCAAAAGTGTTGCTTGTTGGGCAAATTCGCACATACTTAAATTTAGAAAAAGCCACTAAAAACGTTGAAAAGAGAAAAATATCTCAGAGACAGACGCAGAGACAGTGACAAAGAGGTGACCAGCTAATGAAGCCATTGTATCACTGTGTCCCCTTTGGCCTCTCATATATATCTTTTCTTTTTCAAAGTTTTAGTGAGGGAGAACTACCCTGTGTAATGATTTCCCCCTCTCTCTATCTCTTCGCTCCTCTTCTTCTAAAAAGAAGAAATCAAGTTTTTTGCCAACCTACCTACGCACTGATGTGTGCTGAGGTTGTCTTAGAGAAACATTAGATTTGTTCTTGTTTTTACTTTTTTTGAATGAGTTTCATGTCACACTGACACAGAGTTCGCGTTGATTAACTATGTCCAATTTACATACTGCAGCGCTAGAGAAAGTGAAAGCCCTGTACGAGCACGAACAGGAGAAGCGGAGCCGGGGTTCCTGGGACTCGCTCGCCGAATGTGAGGACCTGACGCTGCGGCAGCGGCTGCGGAAGCTACTGCGATCGCTCAAGCCTAAGCCTCAAGCTGCCGTTCCTCGCGTAGCAAGCTCGGGTGACGACGCCGATTCTGAGAGCAACTCGGCCGGTGACTCACGCGCCGACGCCGCCAGCCACTCGGGTGGCACCATCCCAAGCAGTGAGGAGAGCAGCCACGCCGGCGGATGCCGCACCATACGAGAGGAGAGGATCTCCATCGAAGAAGATCCCGACGATGACGTACAGGCGTAGCCAACGTTGTAAACGCCCTGAATGTGCTTCGGCTGTTTTTTTCGTGATCGTGCCTCCTCCTTTGGCGTCGTGCGCTTATGCGATACAGAGACAACTGTTTCGGGTTGAAGTGTGTTACTTTTCGCGTTGTCTATTGTTATAGTGCTATCACCATCATCGTTATTATGATTATCATCATCACCAACATTGCTACAACCAACAAACATCTTGTGTAACGTCCTCTGCGCGAACGCATATCCGTTCTAGAGACCCCAAGTTTTTCCTGTCCTGCGCAAACTGACTATACCTCCTATGCCATGGTATGGCTGCTGTGGCTGAGCATTTGAAATCGTATCATTTCACCTGTAAATTATCGCTAACGACTTGCCTCACGACACATTTTGTTAATGCATTTGAGCACCAATGATCTCTCATGCTCTGCACTTGTTGTATCCGATCTCACTTCTTTTTCATATGGCCGCGTCTTCGCGAATGAACCTCGACTCGGAATTCTTCCCAGAATTCACCTACTAGATCACAGCACCACTTATCGACTATAAAGTGTACGCTGATTCTGAAAGAGGCATTCGGTCTTTTTTTTTTTTTGCGGCCGTGGCCTGCTTGAGAAGGGCGCGCCGACAAAGTTTTCGCTCAGGAATCGCCGTGTCATGTCGTGTAAGAGTAGTGGTTTTCTCAGAGGAGAGGCAGCACCGCTGGGAACTTTTCTTACTCAAAGAATGACGTCGTGTGATGAAAAAGTAGCTGCAGCGAGAATATCACGTGGCTCTTTTTTGCCCTATAAACTACAGTTTCGTGCCTGTTTACGTCTTAAAGCTACGCAAGCCTTTCAATTTTTCATCCATCACTCGCTGCGCAATGTATTTATCTGGTCGTTATACATAATATCCTGGAGATGGATAATCCATCATGACCACAGAAAAATCTTCCGTTGCATCAGACTCGACACGTCAACGCTCGTTTTCCTCGATGGTGGTCAGGCACAGGCAATGTTAATGCAAATAAACAACCACAGCAGTGGAGGTGATAGCAATCACGGTGAGCAGGTTTTTCGGTGCTGTGGTATACCAAAAATTAAAAATAACGAGGAATGCATCTTGAAGGCAAGGGTTTTTTAAGAGCGTGTATAGGCGTATGGTAGACAACTCTATAGTGTGCGTCATAGTTTTGACAGACTCACAATCAACACGTAGATACCATTACAGCGGCAAACTTTGAGAGCCACGTATCACGTTTAGGATTGGAGCACGCCGATTCCTAGTTTACTTTGTTTGAGCTCACGGCAACAATTTTTACTGGGCAAACTGTAAGAAAAACGCCCATGTGCGAGCACACGTGCTCCGAGAGGTGGAGTCGACACAGCGTTTAAGCGCCGCTCTGATTGTCTACACATTGGCTGAAGTACTCGGCTGCTGAGCTGCAGGATCGAATCACGGCTGCGGTGACCGCATGTTTGATGGAAGGCGAAAGTGTTGTAGGCCCGTGTGCTCCAATTCGGGCGCAAGTTAAAGAATTCCAGGGGTCGAAATTTCCGGAACCCATCACTGTGGCGTCACTCATAATCATATGGTGGTTTTGGGACATTAAACCCTACATATCTTCATGCAATCGACAAGCGTTAAAACACAAGCCTATAGCCCTGCAGCCCCCCTCCCTCCCACACAAGACACAACACTATGCTGTATTAAAAATAAGGTTATACCACCATCGCACAACTATCTCACACTAGAGCCAGGTAGTCCAGCAGAACTGCAAAAGTGTCAGCATTTCAGGTCTGCACCACGCCGTACATTCTGCAATATGCTCCTACAGATAGCTGGTTATGCGAAGAATACGTGTATTTTAGCTCACGTTTTCGGCATGCGCAAGCACACCCATGTCATGTCCTTGATACATTAATGAGAGGCACAGGATGCATGCAGTTATGCTCGACGAACCAGCTCGAGCAGGTTAGCTGACTGAGGAGGGCCGCAGATGTAGCTGCCATCCTGCAGAAGATGGCAGCTACAAAGTAGGCTCAGCTGACGTACTCACCCGATTAAAGCTGGAAGCGAGTATTCCTAGTTTAAAAAAAATGTGCCATGACAAGGTTCATATGGTGCCGCTTTACCAACCATCGACGTTTGCACTTGTCCCGCCAGTGTGAAACAATAAAATTTCAAGGTGCACATGTGTGGATACTTATTTAGGCAGCTTTATGGTAATCGATGAGTTGAGCCTGTAAATGTGGAACCAGAAGAACCTGATATTCGCCAGTGGAAGTAATGCCTCGACAAGCCTCATATGTCCTAGCACACTCCGCGTTCTCGTGTATATGGGTGGTACTAATGAGCCGGGTATGGTACAAGTGCATAAACTACACTGTACGGGAGCAGACTAGAAAAGTGTCTTGGTTGACAACGCTTGTAAACACATAATATACAAAACATAGGTGTTGGCCCAAATATGCACATGTTTCCTAAGTGTAAACACATACAAAACATTACTTGCTGGCCATTGCGTTTATGCTCATTTTAAATATAGCCTTTCGTGTTGTCGTCTATCCGTGTTGCGTTTGCACTAAGGAGATTTTGTGGGCCGCTGTGATGACGGAGTGCTGATAAGCATGTGGAACAGACACAAGTAAAAAATAATGGTCGTGTATCTCTTTAACAATCTTTTTTTTTGCACTGTGTAATAAACGATACTATAGGAGAGTTTAAGATGATCCTGCCCAACTCGTGTCTTGTCTACCATGTACTGTTTCCGGGGCGGTGCACCTCATGGCGTGGCTTGTGCGTTCCCATTGTGGCTAACCGCCCCTCGTTAATTCCTAAACCGGCCATTAGAGGGCGGTGCTTGTACTAGACGCTGAAAATTGTAAATGGTACGACACGACAGGTAGTTACTTGTAGAAAAGAAGGATTGAAGTCACACGTACGGAAGGAGAGAAAGCCAACACACGTGACTACAATCGCGTGTTCTTCGGGCGGCACCGTACACCAGGGGGCGCTCAATAGTACAATAAAAGCGCCGTTTGGCGTGCGCGCTCATTCATGAGGCTCGGCGACGGAGGATGGACAAGGCTGTCGAGTGGTCGTGCGCGCAGTGCGGCGCGCTGCTCGCGCTCGAAGAAGGGACCCCGACGTGCGGTCAGAGCGAGGCGAACCGCTCGCGAAGCTGCGAGGCGGCGCCGCGAAGACCTGCAGTACGACAACGGGAGGCCGAAACGGGCAGTGCGGACCCAGCTTCACCTCACTCTCCATCATTCACCGCCCGTGGATATGCTGTCATTTTTTATTTATGTATTACGTTTAAAATAGCAATTACTTCTCTGGTCCTCGCGTGTCAGTATACAGACGTGTGCGCCACTCCTGTGCAATACACGTAACAGAACAAGAAAGAATGTTCTAATTCATTGAGAATTTGAATGAAAAGAAAAGGTTTGTAGCTTTTTCAAAACTCGCAACACGGAAAGGCGAATGTAGGTGCTATGGCAGAATAAGCAACTCAAATATTTTGATGACCACCTCGCCGCGTTGGTCTAGTGGCCTAAGGTACTTGGCGGCTGACCCGCAGGTCGCGAGATCGAATCCCGGCTGCGGCGGCTGCATTTTCGATAGAGGTGAAAAGCTGTAGCCCCGTGTGTTCAGATTTGGAAGCACGTTGAAGAATCTTAGGTGGTTGAATTATCCAGAGCCCTTACTACGGACGGCGTCTCTCATAACCATATGGTGGTTTTAAGACGTTGAACCCCACCTATCAATCAAATTATTTTGATGACAATCATATGAGATACCGAGAAAACGGGGCTGCTTTAAAATCTAGCAGGCGCCCACATGTGCTGATGTCTAATTTGGCTTGTTGCGTACAAGTCGACTTCAGCCCTGGGACAAGCACCGAGGCGAATGTATAGATTGGTTCGCTCATAGAAAGTACAGTCGAGTGCAGGGCGCGTCTGCATTTCCTTTTCTTGCAAATGGCGTAGTCATTAGATTGGCTCAAGTCTGGCGTTGGTTGATAATTTCTTTCTTCTTTTGATCGTCGGAGCCATGCACAAACTATGTTTCAACGTCAAGTTGCAGTTTCGAGGGACAGTAACAAGAAAAGTGCTCAATTCCGAGTGTTCCCTTTAAAAAGTGGACCGTACTGTACACGTTTTGAGCACGTAGCATGTCGGTGTTGTAGGCCTAACGTAGAGGTGGTTATCATGCTGATTCAAACTGCCACCTTAACTATAAGTTCGTCTGACTGTCAAGAACATTATTAATTGGTTCTGAGGAGTTTTGGCCACCAGGGTGTCCACGAGGGACATCCAGCAGCCGCTTATACTGTATATGACGCCCGAGTCGAGGCGGCAGAACGTGTTAGTGTTCCAGCCACCTTCTTGGGCCCCCGTGACTGGCGTTAGTTAGTGTAGGAGGTTGGAGCTCCTGAGTGCCTCCTCCCAGCTCGGACCACTGGTGAGAGGTCCCTGAGTTAACGCGGGACATTGCCAGAGCATGTGTTGAAAACATTTTTTTTTTCAGAAGATACACTATATGTGTGTCCAGACTGTTGCCATGTAGTATATCTCCTAGACAAAAAATGTCCTCGTCTCGCTACGCTAACATGCTGGTGTGCGTACGTGAAGTTTTCGTGTTGATTCTTGCCTACCTTGGCTTTTCTCATATACTGCGCGAAACACTGCTTCTGAGTAGAACAAGCATCTGCACTGAACCGTGTTGTCAGATTCAGCAGCCGCTAATTTTAATGACGAAAGTTTATCGACGCATACAGTGAGGTGAGTGTACCGGGCCCCACATTCCCGAAGACGTCTTGCTCTAGAACTTTCTCTAGGGCCGAATTTCGGCCAATTGCTACGCTGAACATTCGATTAGCTGGGCCAGCTGACCAATCACAGAGAACACTTAAGAAGTCAAAGATTTTGTCGATTCGGTCTGGAATTTCTAAGACGATATAAATACTTAATAGCATGTGATGCTATATATTTATTCATTCGCTTTGGATACACATACGCATACGAAAAAAAGCATGGCTGATCTCTCCTTTATTAAATTTGGTATAAGACGGAAGTGAAACTTGTACTTACCGATATAGTTGAATTTTTATTGTACATTGATATAAGAGGGACACAATGTATCTTGACACCAGGCCATTGAACTCAGAAAAAAATGTCGGTACCGACGTTTGAA